AAGAAACAGTTTGTCTCTTCAGAGACTGCCATTCCACTGGGATAAAAGATAGAAGCTCTCAGTAGCATAATAGCTATTCTAATTATATCCTTCAACTAACCAGGCAATTCATTAAACTGAGTTCAGAGATGATTTAAAAGAAAGAACAGTGCAAGGCACTCTTGGAAATGTCTTTGTATAAACATATCTACTTCTACCTCCATTTAAATGCACTGTATTATTTTTAATTTTTTCAGTACAYGTGCCACGTTGGAACTAAACTGACCGCTGACCCCAGCTCTGACCTGCCGTAGAGGAGAAACCAAAGCCCCAAGGATGGGAATTCCTGCGCTTTGCCGGTGGCACCTGGGCCTTCGAACACCTGAGCAGGGTCCTTGCTCCCCCTGCTCCCCCCACAAATGAGACGGCAGCTTCACGCTCTTAGCTAAGTGGTGGTTTTTTAATGGGTTTAGTCAGGTAAAGGTAGATGTGGCTTCATTCAACCTCTGCTGGATGCTCGGTGCTCAGGCGGAATTCAGGGCAGACTTTTAGGAGAACACGTACTGCGCTCCCCAGACCTTCGAACGAAGCCCAGCCCTCCTTGGTGGGCGCTTCCCTTTCCCGCCTCAGCGGAGGAGGGTGAAAAGCTCCGGGCTTCCTTGGTTTCCCTCTGCACGGCCCTGCACGTGAGGAGCAGCCCCGCGTGGTGCCGCCGCAGCGTGTCCAGGCGCCGCCGCAGCAGCTCGGCCGCCTCCACCTTCTCCTGGAAGTCGCGCAGCAGCGTGGGGCGGCCGAGCAGCCCGCACTGCTGCTGCAGCCGCGCGTTGTGCAGCCGCAGCCGGTCCCGCTCCTGCTTGGCGCGCGCCAGCGCGTCCCGCTTCTGCGCCAGCGCGGCCTCCACGGCGCGCAGCTCAGCCCTGCTGCCCTGGTTCTCGGCCTCCACGAACTGCAGCTTCTCCTTGAACTGGCTCAGCACCTGCACCGTGGTGCCGATCTTGCGCTGCAGCTTGTGCAGCTCCTCGCCCAGCTCGTCCAGCTTCTCGCTGTGCTTCTCGTTCTCCTTCTTGAGCTGCTCGAAGTCGATGAACTGCACCCCGCGCGCGCCCGCGCCGCGCGCCCGCAGCGCCGCCTCCAGCCGCGCCACTTGGTGCCGCAGCTTGATGTTCTCCACGCGCACCTGCCCGGGCGGGCGGCGTCACGGCGGGCGGCACCG